ACCTAATTACCATTTTATGAATAAATAATCAAACATGAACTTTACCCTAAGAGAAAAAACTACAGAAAATTTAAAACACTTCGGTACAAAAAACGAAGTAAAAATTCCAATTATTATTTATTATTTTTATTTCATTCGATATTTACATATTGAGAAAGAAAATAATAAAACCAAATTAACCAAAACATCATTTAATCAACTACTATTTCACTTTCAATATTAAAATTTAACACACACTCACAATAAACAATTTTCTTTCAGAAATCACACCACAAGGTATACATATATCAAACAGAATTCCCTATAATTATTCCCTATAAAATATCACTATATCAAACAAAATTATTGGCTACGCCCATAAACAATCCTCTTCCAGAAATTACACCAGAAAGTATACATTTATTTAAAAAATTCCCTACAATTATTCCCTATAAAATGTTACTACATCAAACAAAATTCCCTATAATTATTTCCTACAAAATGTCACTATATCGAACAAAATTCCCTACAATTATTCCCTGTAAGATATCACTATATCGAACAAAATTCCCTATAATTATGCACCATAAAAAATCGTTGTACCAAAAAAATTCTAATAAATGTACACTATAAAAATTCACTACACCAAAAAAAAAAAAAGACAAGTGCCAAGAAACACAAAACCATCACAAGAAACCAAATGAAAAAAAAAAGAAAAAAAATCGATAAGCAAATGAAACCGTATATACGACGACCACTCACAGGAAGAACACGTGATCTAGCCGGAAGAAAGCGGAAGAGACGAAAAGGAGGGAACAAACAGGGGTATTTAAAAAACAGAACCGCGACTGCTTCGGAGGGCTGCACGACCAAGTCCCCCGTGGCATAGCTCTCGCAGTCATTGTTCTTTTCCTCGAACGATCAGGGTTGTCTTCAAAGGGAAAGCGTCTCCTCGCGCGTAAACAGCGCGCCTCGAGCGAGCAATAGAGACGTTTCGCAACGTTCTTCCGGCGTGGAAACTGGTGTCAACGGGACTGCAAATTGACTGTTGCTTCTTTCACTATGCAAGTTGCTCTTTACAATCTCGTCCGAGTCGACGCTTTTTCTCTCAATGTTCGTATACAGACGAATTTTTAAATCGCAGAATTTCTAACGACACTGATACTTTTCGAGAAAAAAAAAGAAATAAAATTATTTGATTAAATTTTGGGATTGTTAAATTTGTCATAATGGAGATTTGGGATTTTTTATTCTGATTGTGTACCTAGATATTTTTGGTAATAGTTAGTGATGATTTTTATTAATTTGTTTTTAATTACTAACGATTTTTATTATTATTATTTTATTAAAAAAAAATGGCGATTTGGAATTTTTTATTCTGATTGTATATTTAGATATTTCTGGTAATAGTTGGTGATGATTTTTGTTAATTGGTTTTTAATTATTATTATTGTTATTATTATTAAATTTCTACCATTTACTGTACCCAGAATTTTCAATTTTTGAAAAAGACACGTTTCAGAGGATTGTCAACGCGAAATTCGCGATGAGGAGATAGATGAAATTATTTCCACGTCTTCCACGAATTTCCTTCAGGGTTAGAGACACACATAGCATGGATGTTCGTGCAACGATGTTATCTATCTGCATCGATAAGACTGTATGATCTAATTATCTGACAAACGGCGCCGATATGCACCGCGCTTCCTTCTTATCTGCATCGTCGCGATAATGGCGCCGATAAATTCGCAATAATAGTGAGAACGGCGAATTTTATCCTTGAGCTTGAAATATCTGCTAACGACTGATTTCGGAATATTTTTACGAGGCATAAAATACGGATATGTGGAAAGGAAGGACAAATGCTTTTATGAATCATGCTGTAGTGAATTATTTTATTGCACATGATCTTTTTATTTCATGTGTGTTATTTTCCCTGTTACATTATTGGTGAAAGAGAAAATTATTTATATTTCGATTTTGGATTTTTCTGAATTTTTATATGTCATCATTGATATATAGGTAATTTTAATAAATATTTTACTGAATTTCGAATTTTTATATTTCTTTTTCATTTTGTTTTGGATAAGTGGAGGCTTTATTCAAATCAGAAGTTTTATTATTTATTTCATTTCACGGATGTGTTTTGGGTGAATTTTCTGAAATTTGATTTTTAATTGATTTGATTTTCTGAAAATTGATTTTTAATTGATTTCATTTCCTGAAATTTAATTTTTAATTGATTTTAATTGATTTTGATTTTAAGAATAATAGATTTTTTTTTTTAAATAGGAAAAATGAGAATTTCCTTGTAATAAGTAAGTGCTTTTAATTTTGTTTTAAATATATATATTCTATAATTTATTTTAGGAAGAATGGAAACATCTGTGTATCCGAATACGAAATTTTATTAGGAATAAAAATATTTTCCGTATTTTTACTTTTACTTATTTTCGGATTTTATCCTGTCCTGCTATATATTGGTCAGGGGTCACAGAAAATATTTCACATTTACGAAACGAACGATAAAACACGAACAAAATTTTCGTCCATTTCCAGCGTGGAAAGGCTTTTCAAACGATATATTTTTTTCCGATGAATGGTCCAGAAACAACTTGCTATACTAACCGAACCTGTACAGTATTCGCTGTGACACTTTGAAAACTGGATATGTGTCGTAATTTATCGCTTCTTCCTCTTTTTAACCAAAAATTATATATGGAATATATTAATATTTATTATATTACTAATATTAATTAATAAAATGAATAATATATATGTACATATATAAATAGAATATTATAAAATGTATAAATATATAAAGAAATTTATGATACTATATATTAAATAAAATTAAAGTGACTTCGATTCTTTATCAAAAATAAAAAGATATTTTAAAATTTCGACTATTATTTATACTATTAAATTTTAATCAGAAAATTACTATATCAGACAGAATGACTGGCTTCATATTATTATTGACAAAAATAACATCAACTATATTATTCAAATAAAAATATGATGGAAAACAAATTATTTTCTTCACAATTTAAAATTATTAATTAGAATTATTTCGTATGCACTCGAATTATTATTATTATTATTATTATTATATACTATTATTTATACTATTAAATTTAAACACGATCATATCCACTGTCATTTTAATCTCAGAATTACTATACCAGACAAAATGACTGGCTTCATACTACTATTAACAAAAATAACATCAACTATATTATTCAAATAAAATTATAATGGAAAACAAATTGTTTACTCCATAATTTAAAATTATTAATTAGAATCATTTGGTATGCACTCGAATTACTATTATTATTATATACTATTATTTATACTATTAAATTTTAAACACAACCATACCAACCACTGTCATTTTAATCTCAGAATTACTATATCAGACAGAATGACTGGCTTCATACTACTATTAACAAAAATAGCATCAACTATATTATTCGAATAAAAATATGATAGAAAACAAATTATTTTCTTCACAATTTAAAATTATTAATTAGAATTATTTGGTAAGCACTCGAAGACTCCTCCAAATCCAGAAAATTATTTCCCTATACTTTTAAATGCAATATATACTAATTTTTACCATCCTTTTTCTTTTTCTTTCTTTCTCCTTTTTTTAATAATTTTCATAAAATTTATAACTGTGTATATATATAATTGTTTTCATTTGTGTACATATTACAGGTCGATCACTCTCACCCAATGATACAATGATCCACCCCTATCCATAATTCGCATACTTATTCCCCAGACCTTGTGGCTGAACTTTCACGTGCCCGTGTTTAACAGATAAGGAGGTATCAGCCTTTGGCCAACTACCCGGCAGATAAAAACTTCGAAATGTACCTCGTTCGACTTTCATGAGGCACCTACTATCTTATCGACAAACCTTGAAATTTCCACGAGCAACATGGAAACCGATGGATCGCGAAATTTTGACGAAGGATTACAGCTCGTTCAGAGGGTTTCACGCTTTTCTGACAAATTCCAGTGTTTTCACGAATCGGTGATAAGCGGAAGCAACGTTCGCATTGCAAAATATTTCTATTGAAAATTTTACTATCACGAGTAGTATCACATACATGGAGTAATAATACGTCGTATGGTTTTTAATATTTTTGAGTAATTTTAACGAGGTACTTTTTACGTGAAAATTTAATTTCCAGGTTTTGAAATCTTCGCTTCATCGAAGTAAAGAATTTAAAAATTTTTAAATTATCTAATTTTCGAATTTTCCGAATTTTCAAATTTTCGAGCTTCCAATTCTTCAAATTCGAATTTTGAATTTCTGAACTTAAGAATTTTTGAATTTCCAAGATCTAACAGTTTAGAATTTTCAATTTTTCCAATTTTTTCGGATTTTGTATTTCCAAATTTTCGAGTGTTTGGATTTCCAAGATTCAGAATTTTAGAATATTTCAATCACAGAACTTTCGATTCCTCGAATTTTTAATTTTCGACCTTTTAAATTTTCAAATTTCCAATTTTCCTATTTTCAGAATATTGAAATTTCGAACTTCTCAGTTTTTGAATCATCGAAATTTTCAATTAAAAGATTTTGTAATTTTCAACTATCTATCCACACATTTTTCTCGCATAAATTTTAAATTTGCAAGGCAAGTTACTTCATACGAGTACGTAAATAAAATTTACATACTCTTCGCATAAATTATTCTACCTAAAGAAACTCTGAAAATCATAAAGTGATCTATCATTATATCACATACTATAAATCATTTAAGACGAGTATACTAAACATAAACTAATTCCCATATACTTCCTGAATCGTTTTCTAACACAATCGCGAAACTTTCTCCTTACCAAACATCCAATACCCTTCTAAACACTTCAATATTACTTCCTTCCACGTTTCATCTTATCAAAAATGTCAAAAATATTCGAATCTTTCCGTCCCGAAACTTGGACGAAAAATTACCTATTCATCCTAAAGAATAAAAATCGAGAAAAATTCGATAACCACTCACCGTTCGATCTTGTCCATCGTGGTGGGATGCTGCAAGATGGTTTGCTGTCCGGACATCTCGACGACGCATTGTGTACAGAGTTCCAGCTCTGGAAAAAGTGGAACAGAGTTAATTGAAGTACGCCGCTATCACGACTGCAATTTAAATTTTTAATAGCTATTAAAAATAAAACATGATTCGTGGTCGAAAGAAACTCGTGGGATGGATGGATCCAAACTTCTTGATTATAAAATTCTTAAATTTTTGATTAAATATTCTGCCCTAGTCACTTGTCTTTCCGATTTTTCTTTAATATATAAAATTTATAAAATTTATAATTATATTTTTTTAAATTTATAAAATTTTCTTTAATATATAAAAATATTACGAAATTTTTGATATTTCTAAGTTTTTCCTTCTTCGTTCTTTCACCTACACATTTTCAAACCTATATAGTAGATTTAACCCTTTGCCCTTTAACCCTTAACCTTTTATCCCTTTGCAGAGGCGCCCTTCAGTCGCCATTTGATAAAATTTCGAGGCTCGATATTAATTAATATATCAAATTTAAAATAATGTAAAGTAATGTGCGAATTATTAAATAATTCTACGTGTTAATTATTATACAATTTGTTATTTACTGCTTGAAAAATATCATCAGCTTTATAGTAGAAAATTTTTCAACTCGTACCCTTCTTTAGCTAAAAATCGTCGAGCATAAAGGGTTAATTAGGTTTAATTAACATAAAGGATGATGAATATTCAAACTAATAGAATGTACAAGTATACGGATGATTTTCTATGAAGATTCTTTTTATCTGCAATTAGATAAACAAATAAAAATGAAAGACAGTCTATCTGATAATATATTACAGGTCGATCACTCTCACCCAATGATACAATGATCCACCCCTATCCATAATTCGCATACTTATTCCCCAGACCTTGTGGCTGAACTTTCACGTGCCCGTGTTTAACAGATAAGGAGGTATCAGCCTTTGGCCAACTACCCGGCAGATAAAAACTTCGAAATGTACCTCGTTCGACTTTCATGAGGCACCTACTATCTTATCGACAAACCTTGAAATTTCCACGAGCAACATGGAAACCGATGGATCGCGAAATTTTGACGAAGGATTACAGCTCGTTCAGAGGGTTTCACGCTTTTCTGACAAATTCCAGTGTTTTCACGAATCGGTGATAAGCGGAAGCAACGTTCGCATTGCAAAATATTTCTATTGAAAATTTTACTATCACGAGTAGTATCACATACATGGAGTAATAATACGTCGTATGGTTTTTAATATTTTTGAGTAATTTTAACGAGGTACTTTTTACGTGAAAATTTAATTTCCAGGTTTTGAAATCTTCGCTTCATCGAAGTAAAGAATTTAAAAATTTTTAAATTATCTAATTTTCGAATTTTCCGAATTTTCAAATTTTCGAGCTTCCAATTCTTCAAATTCGAATTTTGAATTTCTGAACTTAAGAATTTTTGAATTTCCAAGATCTAACAGTTTAGAATTTTCAATTTTTCCAATTTTTTCGGATTTTGTATTTCCAAATTTTCGAGTGTTTGGATTTCCAAGATTCAGAATTTTAGAATATTTCAATCACAGAACTTTCGATTCCTCGAATTTTTAATTTTCGACCTTTTAAATTTTCAAATTTCCAATTTTCCTATTTTCAGAATATTGAAATTTCGAACTTCTCAGTTTTTGAATCATCGAAATTTTCAATTAAAAGATTTTGTAATTTTCAACTATCTATCCACACATTTTTCTCGCATAAATTTTAAATTTGCAAGGCAAGTTACTTCATACGAGTACGTAAATAAAATTTACATACTCTTCGCATAAATTATTCTACCTAAAGAAACTCTGAAAATCATAAAGTGATCTATCATTATATCACATACTATAAATCATTTAAGACGAGTATACTAAACATAAACTAATTCCCATATACTTCCTGAATCGTTTTCTAACACAATCGCGAAACTTTCTCCTTACCAAACATCCAATACCCTTCTAAACACTTCAATATTACTTCCTTCCACGTTTCATCTTATCAAAAATGTCAAAAATATTCGAATCTTTCCGTCCCGAAACTTGGACGAAAAATTACCTATTCATCCTAAAGAATAAAAATCGAGAAAAATTCGATAACCACTCACCGTTCGATCTTGTCCATCGTGGTGGGATGCTGCAAGATGGTTTGCTGTCCGGACATCTCGACGACGCATTGTGTACAGAGTTCCAGCTCTGGAAAAAGTGGAACAGAGTTAATTGAAGTACGCCGCTATCACGACTGCAATTTAAATTTTTAATAGCTATTAAAAATAAAACATGATTCGTGGTCGAAAGAAACTCGTGGGATGGATGGATCCAAACTTCTTGATTGTAAAATTCTTAAATTTTTGATTAAATATTCTGCCCTAGTCACTTGTCTTTCCGATTTTTCTTTAATATATAAAATTTATAAAATTTATAATTATATTTTTTTAAATTTATAAAATTTTCTTTAATATATAAAAATATTACGAAATTTTTGATATTTCTAAGTTTTTCCTTCTTCGTTCTTTCACCTACACATTTTCAAACCTATATAGTAGATTTAACCCTTTGCCCTTTAACCCTTAACCTTTTATCCCTTTGCAGAGGCGCCCTTCAGTCGCCATTTGATAAAATTTCGAGGCTCGATATTAATTAATATATCAAATTTAAAATAATGTAAAGTAATGTGCGAATTATTAAATAATTCTACGTGTTAATTATTATACAATTTGTTATTTACTGCTTGAAAAATATCATCAGCTTTATAGTAGAAAATTTTTCAACTCGTACCCTTCTTTAGCTAAAAATCGTCGAGCATAAAGGGTTAATTAGGTTTAATTAACATAAAGGATGATGAATATTCAAACTAATAGAATGTACAAGTATACGGATGATTTTCTATGAAGATTCTTTTTATCTGCAATTAGATAAACAAATAAAAATGAAAGACAGTCTATCTGATAATGAAATTGTGATTAGAAATGAGCAAAATTTAATTTTTTAATTTTAATGGATTTAAAAAGATAATTTAATTTCTTCACATAAAATTGTCATCGTGCAAACTTGTAAAATTTATGTAAAATGTAAGAAAACCAGGAAGCGAGTCTATAGTGGAATATATGTATAGTAGTGTCGTTTAAGAAACTCGTTAAAATTATTTTTTCCCGAGACCTGTAGTGTCCAAAGAATACTGTAGTCGATGCGAACGATAAGAGGGTTATAAAATAGGAAGCAAGGGGCGATGGAGACATTGACCAGACCCACGAATCGATAGTTATATTCGAGCATAAGTGAGCAGGGTTGCGTGCATGAGAGTATGAGAAGAAGAGAAGAAAGGAAGAGAGAAATCGACGAAGTTAGGGGAGAATATATATATTATGTAAGAGAGTGTCGTTTGAATTGTTAAGAAAGTCTGCTGTCGATTTTGTCGGTGTATATTGTATTTACCATTAATTATTTATTCGAGAATTATGATAAACAATACACTATCATACGATACAATAATATTTATACAATATTATTGTATAATATTAATTATATAATACTGTATAGTATTAATTATATAAT